TATCAGCGGACACCGTATCAGCGGACACCGTATCAGCGGACACCGTATCAGCGATTCTTATCAGCGACTCGTATCAGCGGACACCGTATCAGCGAACACCGTAGCAGCGAACACCGTATCAGCGAACACCGTATCAGCGAACACCGTATCAGCGACTCGTATCAGCGGAAACCGTATCAGCGCCGGACACCGTATCAGCGACTCGTATCAGCGGAAACCGTATCAGCGGAAACCGTATCAGCGGAAACCGTATCAGCGGACTCGTATCGTATCAGCGGACTCGTATCGTATCAGCGGACACCGTATCAGCGAGCCTCCGTATCAGCAGAAGCCTCCGTATCAGAAGCTCCTCCGTGTCCTTCTTTGAAGGATGTCCTTCTTTGAAGGAAATAGTGATCAAATAACGTGCTAGTTTGCACCTCTGTGTGAATGAACAGAACCACACACACTACACGTGGTTGTATTATTGCACACTTTACGTACATTTTAAGGGGAATCAACGGTCGAAAATGCAACTCAAAATGCTGGTGAATCACACCAGTAAGAAAAAAAGCAATACTGTTTTAGTTAGTTAATTTACACACAAATTATAGTATACTGTCAAAAAAATAGGAATATTGGTCTCCGTACATAGACGTATATGGGGTAGGGCTATTCAGTATTGTTTTTGCGTTGCATTGGGGCAATTTCAATAATGCAATTTTAGTTGCAAAATACCAATACTGTACTTGTACATACCGGGATTCTGGTAACGGACGCGGACGGACGGTACGTACTACGTACTCGTACGATTACGACAAAAAGTTCTTTTTTAGTCGTCGTGCCGAACTCGCGCGACTCACTTACTAAGTTAGGAAGAGAAGACTTAGAACACGAGTACGTACCGTACGGTACGTATGGTGCTCTTAAGTACGTACCTACGTACTGCGTAATCTGCCTGTATCGATTGTTATGGAGACGAACGTATGTACGTACAGTACGATCGTCTTCCATCTACTGTACAGAAGTACAGTACTAAGCAGTACGAGTGTTTTGTACAGAACTTTACTTCTGTAGATTACTCGTACGTAATTATGACTGAAAAAGATCTCTGTTTTCGGTCATTATGAAACTTTTCTATTTTTAAAGTATGTGTCGAATTGCTTTCGTTCACTGGTCCCATGTGAAAGTTCTGCCACTTGGAAGGAACTTTAACGAGCGCGCCGAAAGAAAACAGAATATTGAATTCTATCTCAGGACAAGAATTCCGATCGACTTGGAGTGTGAGGCAGTGACGATCGTTCCTCGGTTTCAAGAATTGGAATCTTGGCTTTCCTTGACTATCTTCGCTGACTTGTTTAAACGTTAAGACTCAGCCAATAGGAAAACAACAACGCACACCTGAGGGACTACGATCGAAGGAAATGAGAGCCAGTCGAGCGTGATAAAAATAGGCGATTCATTTTTTTCTTTGCGAGGTCTCTTTATTCAAAGATACCGGTCTCGTCCCTGCACGAGTACGAGTACTTTAGCTATCGGTAAAGGTCATCGCATTTTTTTGATACTCGTACGTGTTCGTACGATGGCTCTGTCCAATGAACATCGGTGGGAATTTGTAATTTCCATAAAAATTACTTTTGTCAGAATTACGGGAAAGACTAGACTATTTCATCAGGCCAAAAAGCTCTGCCAATCGTATCTACCATAAACTATACCCCTCAAGAACAATATCTAAGAACACAGCTGGTACACTCCGACTTCAGTTGACTCCACCAACAACAGCRATGACTATCAAGACTTTGAAAAAACGTTCATCTGAATTGGCGTTGGCTTCTATTCGGTACGTTTGTTTGTCGTGTCGTCATTCTTCTGGTCACTCGGCGGGTTTYATCTAATGAAACCATCGGCGGGCGAATTCTGTCATTCATTATTTTCGATGCGTTCCATGATCATGTATTCTTACTTCGTTGATATGTCTGAACCGCGATGAAAAAAATAATTCGTCATYACAATAGGGATGAATCGATGTCGATGAAACCGGTGCTTCCTGCTTCAATTCTAGATGCGTGGACATCTTTAGCGCCCGAGGTCCGAGCGGCGTTGATTGCCGCAGAAACATCGTCGCAAAAGTCGGGCTCTTTGCCGACAAATGCCTCTGTCTCAAGCATGACTTCCTCCTCYAGTAGTTCCGATGCGAGCATCGAAAAGAGCACGAGCAGCGGCTCCGACGACGGAGCTGATGATACATTYRTTGAATTTGATCCYGAAGCAGGGACAAAGACCACTCTTMGACCACTGGAAAGGGCCCCGAACAATGTTTTCGAAATCACGAAAACAACCTCCAAGGAAACAATTACCGTCGAAAAGACTGGATCTGCGACCGTGACCACTAAAAAAACTATGATGGCGACGACGAAAGGATGGAGAAATGTCTTCTCGYTACCTATTTCTTACGACGTCAACATGGTACCAAGGGGAACATTACTAGATCCATCCAACATGCAGTTGCTTGAAGCGACAGGAGTCCAMACAGAAGGATACAACACCCGGTTCGCCGTCATTGACGAAGCSGTCAATGGGTTTTATGGAGAACGCATTATGCAGTATTTCAAGGCACAGAAYATTGAGCTCCACACAATTGTTATTCCTGGTGGAGAGCCCGACAAACGAAGTGGTGTGAGTACGAYCGTTTGGGTTGACCGACCGACGTATTGTATTTCTCAACTTTTCTAACTTGCAYGACTTATTTTCCYYCAATTCTAGGCGATCGACAAAATTCTCGATGCCATGTGTGTRTACAAGTTGAGAAGGAGAGAACCRTTCTTGGCTATTGGCGGGGGTGTTGTGCTGGATATTGCTGGAACTGCTGCTTGCCTYTACCGCCGGGGTGTGCCGTTTGTCCGAGTTCCCACCACCCTTCTAGCCATCGTCGATGCCAGTGTCGGGGTGAAAAATGGAATCGATTATTGCTGCAGCTTGACAGACGAGACCTACAAGAATCGTGTTGGTTCCTTCTATGCTCCAAGTTCTTGTCTCTTGGACACCGATTTCATCGCAACACAGGACAGTCGAAATATTTCAAATGGTTTCGGGGAGATCRTCAAGCTCGGGCTWGTGCGTTCGGAAGATTTGTTTGAATTATTGGAAACGCACGGTGAAGCGTTGATCGAATCGAGGTTCACTGACACCCCCTCTGTCCCAGATGGCGTTGCCCAAAGAATMATTGACCTKTCGATTCAAATCATGCTCGAAGAATTAGGACCTAATCTGTGGGAGTAYAATTTAGAGCGCTGTGTGGACTACGGGCACACTTTTTCAAARCTSCTCGAAATGGTCCCAGGGGTGGACATCATGCACGGCGAGGCCGTAAATATCGACGGSTTCTTCTGCTGTTTGTTGAGCTACTTGAGAGGCTATGTCACCATGGATACGGTCAATCGTGTWTTCCGTTGCATGCAAGCTCTCAAGCTGCCAACGACATCTTCTCACYTCCAATCCGAATTGGCGTGGCAGAGTTGTAAAGACGCTGTGGAACACAGACATGGAGCCATGCGAATTCCTTTGATTACGGATATCGGAGAAAGCGTGGTCGTCAGTGACATAACACCAGAAGAACTKAACAGAGCGATCGAATTATTGCAAACGTTCAAGCACACAATGAGCGGAGAATAAGGAAGAAAAATCCAGATCTATGAGCTACGGAATATTGCTATACCTATGTTATCAGAAAAGTACCAACACGGAAATTGTGACAGGAACTGGTTGTGAACAGAAAATTAAAAAAGGAAAAAAAAAAAATAGTCACTTGCTTTATACATGGTTCTACGTTTGGTATTTGTCATTTTAGTAGTATTTATCAATCGGAATCTTCAACCTCCTCAGTTTTTTGCTTTTTGGAACTCGGTTGTTCTTGATCTTCGTCTTCCTCTTTATCAACACTTCCACGTTTAGTGCCGGACGATGGCTTCAGCTCTTCATCGCTGTCCTCRTCACTGCTGTCGCCAAACAAATCCTGTTGGGTSGTATCTGCAGCGATTTCTTTGTTTTCTTCATTTTCGTCCTTCTTTGGTTCCTCTTCCTCGTCGTCACTCGAGTCTTCAAAGAGACCCGCCGAAGCAGGCTTTGCGTCGTCTTCTTCCAATTCCAGGTTATTGATATTTTCCGTATGCTCGGGCGCTGGAGGTGCTTTGTTCTGGTTTCGTTTTTCTRCTGCGGCCTTTGCAATTGCTTGCTCATGTTCCCATCCCGATCGCAGATCTTCCAACTTTCTCATCTTTTCCCTCGCCTWAAGACAAGARCAAAGTATTCGGAATAAATACGTGAGGATATGCACCGAGAAAGCTAGCGCACAAACGACAACATTTAACAGACGCGAAAATTTTAATCAGATTACGTACCCTTCGATCACGCTCTTCTTGTTTCTTTGTTTCTTCCTGCATCTTCAGYTCTTTCTGAAGTTTTTGTTCTTCTCGCTTTGATTCCGCCGCCATGCGCTGCAATTCGCGGATTTCATTCGCTTCTTCCTCGCGCTTTCTTTCATCCTCGAGATGCGATTTTGCCGACTCGATATTACTCTTGCAATGAGTAATAAAATCATTCAATATAGACGTCGAGATCAGTACCTTAGCGCCTTCTTTCTTGTTTTTGAGGATCGTTTCTACCGTCTCTAAACTGTGTTGAAGTCCGTTCAGTGCTTCCTCAACTTCCTGAGCTGTCCTTCGAATATTTCTGGTGAGTTTCTGCAAAACACAGTTAGCCGCCTGTAGCTTGGTCATGCACAGATTATAGGTAAGAAGACCATTCTTCGATTCGGACGTGTTGTCAATCAGAGCCAGTTCAATATGTTCCATCGCYTTTTTGTATCGCTCGTCGGCGGGCGCTGCTTTCGCATTGTTAAAGAGCTCWGTTTGGCGGGCCCAGTCAAAGTATGCAAACGCAATGTAGTGGAGCACDTCAACCTTGTCATCGAGCCTGCTCTTCGAGGTAATCGGGGTGGTTCCATCTTCGGTACGCTTGAGATAGCTTTGGTACATTTGCAATGCTTCGGGATGTTTTTTCTGTGCAAGGTAAATGTGTGCCAGGTTGAGATGCGTATCCGAAATGGTGTCGCCGGTTACTTCTCTCACACGATTGAAGACTTCCTTTGCCTTGAACAACTCCGCCTTCTCTGCAATCACGGTTCCCAACCCATTGGCGGCATACGCATTGGCGTTGTCCTTCGTCAGGATGCGTTTGTAGTAATCCCCGGCATACCCCAAATAACTSGCGTACCGTTTCGGTATATCAAGGTTCGCAAAGTAAATATTCCCCATGCTCAGGAGAGCATAGGATTCCACGTTTGGAATTTTCTTGCCGAGAAGGCCGTCGAAAATTTGCTGGGCCGGCTGCCAATCGCAGAGGGAAAGATGGAGGTTCCCGATTAGGGTGAGGACCTCTGGATTCCCGGGCGCGATTTCCGCCGCAATCTTTAGCCACCMCGCACACTCGTTYAGAGCCCCACAATCGATTGCGATGCACGCCAGGCGCAGATAACTGTTGACGTACGCTGGATTTCTTTTCAGAATGGCCTTGTGGAGCTCGATCGCGGCGAGATTCCTTCCGGACGTCTCGTGCAGCCGTGCCAGGTTGAAAGCGATGCTAATCGCATGCGGGTCCTYCATGCGACTGTTTTCGCGTTTCACTAAAACAGAAATGTCCTTGACCTTTTCCACATCGGGTTCTTCTTTCGAATCTTCCTCCATCTTGTTTTCGTCGTCTTCATTTTTCTTAAGCGGCTCGTGCTTGTAAGCATCGTCTATTTTCAGTACCAGTGCTTTGTCTTCCTTTTCTATGCCCGCAACTCGGGTTGTGAAGGACTCTCCCAATCGAATGTCATCGCCAACCTTCAAAGAAAAATCCGATGCCTCCTTTCCTTCCGATTCGATAATTTTAAGCACGGTCGAACCTTCCTCTTTGTCACCGTCCTTGGCGGGGTTTTCTACCTTCAGCTTGCTATCGACGTAGCCAAAAAACATGTTGTTGTCGTCGTGACGAATCGTCCCGCCCTCCACRCCGGAGTTTTCCAGTGTGGCCACGCGCTTGGTACCATCTTCGTCCAGCGCATTCAGGGCCCGCACGTACGAGGTCAGGCTTTCGTCAAACTTTCGGGTTTCGTGAGAGAGCACGCCGATGTTTGTGTGGATCGCGAAGGGGATCTTGGATCCCTGCCGTTCCATCAATTCGACGGCCTTGTTGTATCGTTCCAGGGCCTTGGGGAAATTGCTCTCGTTCTGCTGCAGGGCCAGCGCCTCCAGAAAAATCAAGTCGGGATTGAGGGGATCYAGATCGATGGCCTTGCGCAGGTGCGCCAGACCATCTTGGGTTTTTCGTCCGCTTCGGACTTTCAAGAGCCCGAGCGTGGCTAGGGCATCGGTAGCKGTGTTGGAGGTTCCCAGGACCAATTGCAGGTGCGCCGCCGCTGGTTCGTACTGTTCTTGGTACACCAATACCTGGGCAAGACCAAATCGTGCCGGAGTCAGGTTTGGGTTGAGTTTGCAGGATCGGTCGTATACCTTTCCGGCATCTTCCATCATTCCTCGAACGTGGTATACCCTCGCCAAGAAAAAGAGAGACTCGGCCTGTATTTCCGTCACCTGGGTGCTGTTATAGGCGCCCTTCGCCAGCGCGATCACTCTGTCGTAATCCTTCTTCCACACTTTGAGCCCGCTGGTTGTTTCCCCCTTCCAGGCCTCTTTCATTTGGAAGGTAACCCCTCCATCGCCATCCGCGTCGTCGCTGTCGTCGTCTACGTACGTTTCGAATTCCATTCCGATGCGCACCCTGTCGCCCTCGTCGAGCGGAATCGATTGGGATCCCTTGACGGTTTTCGATCCCTGGGTCACCTCCACGGTGCCGGCCATCGGCGTCCACTTCCAAAAGTAGTGATTCGCGAGGTGGTTTTGTACCATCGCGTTGGAATGGTCGAGAAGGTTGGCCATGCTCATCATTTTGATCGCCTTTTCCATGTGCGAATTAAAGTCGTTGCTGGTTTCATCAAGATTCATCATGTCCAGCACCGCAGCTCCCACCATGGCCTCTACGTTYTCCCCGTCCATRTCGAGTGCGCGGGCAAAGGCCGCCTTGGCGCGATCCACCTTTCGACAAAGCAAGGCAATAGWGCAATAGTGCAGTAGCATACGGTAGACACCGGTCAAAAAAGAAAGGGAGRCAAGGAAAACAAAAGGCCATTGAGCAACACCATCGGAAACAGCAGCGCATACYCGGCAGTGGTTTCGYCCGRATCGGACCCGTTGTTGGCATTGCCAATGRTCTTACCTGCCCCAGYCGATAGCACGCCAGCCCAAACCCCACACGGGTCGGCGCCCCGCTCTTTTTCGGGTAGAGCCGAATGGCTTCGGCGTACATCTGCTGCGCCGCCGCGTAGTTTTCCTCGAGGTAGCACACGGCCGCCAGTCCCAGCAGGGCCGGGAGGACCTTCCCGCACTCCTTGAGGGTCGTGTCGAAGAAAAACCTCGCCTGCTTGAGCCGGTTGGCGGACAAGTTGAGCATGCCCCTGCCCATCCAGGTCATGGGGTAGAGGTTGTCCACCTTGGAGCTGAGGGTGAACCGGTTGTCCGCCTTGCTRATGAGCTCTTCCCGGAGGTCGTTTTCGGCCCGCTTGTCGCCCCCGCCGCCCCCCTCTTGCGCCGCGGTCAGGTGGGCGATGCCGGCCGCCGCAAAGATCCGCACCCGGTCGTCCTTGGTGCCCGTCTCGGCCCGTTCGCAGCCGGCCTCCAGGATCTGCGCCGAGTCCTGTGCGTGCTGCTTGTGTTTCACGTAGTGCAGGGCGGCGTCCGCCCAGACGCCCAGGTCGGCGTTCTCGTCCTTCATSACCTGCATGAGCGACGAGGAYTTTGTGTCGGGGATTTCCTCCGGGAAAATCTCGATGAACTTTTCGCCGTCCTTCCCGGAGCTCCGGATGGGGATGATCAGGGACGGATCGTCGGTGTCGTCTTCCTCGTCGGGGCGGGACGGGGACACCGCCGTGGCTGCTGCTTCGGCCGCCATGGTAGAGTCGGATGCGGTTATTTTGCTTTTTGGTGCTGCTGTGGGATGCGGCAACCACGGTGCCTCTTTGTTTGCTCCTCGCGGTCGCAATTGCAATTCCCGTTGATTGGATTGATTTGAAATCGACGCAATCTCCCGAGGCACAAAACAACGAGTAGTGCTGTACAGAGTACTGGTACGCACGATATGCGTACTACGCGTACGATTTCGTACTCGTAGTACGAGTACTATCCGATGCGATGGCGCTGCAGCTCGGGAAAACCGCACTATTCCTACTGAATACCCGTACTACTCGTGTATGCATCAAGTACAAGGCGTTTACGAACCTCCTCATGGTTTCCGGCACCGTTCATGACCAACAAACAAACGTGCAGCGAGACATCATTGTTTTTTGTTCTGGTCCTACCTACCGTACCGGCCGGTACGTACCGTACGCCGTACATTACGTTTAGGGTTAAACGATGAAACACTCTACGTACCTGGTACTTGTATGTATGTATCGTAGGTACGACMATACGAAAGAATGACTGTCATCTGTCGTTCTTGTTTTGCCGATCTCGTAGATAAAGTAACTTCGTACGAGGGCCATTTCGGCATCACAGTACGAACTACGAACCGTACCGTACGTTAGTAACGGTACTCAGTTTTGCGTCGGAGGGACCATCGATGGCAATTGTGCCATGGGAACAACGTATTCGTTCACGACACGATAAAGTACATTGCGTTCCTTCCGGAGGCGAGAATCAAGTCACCGTACCAAAGGAAAGCAACCCCCATCCCCTCTCCGACAATACTCGAAYAAGGCAACGACGATTGATTCGGGACCATACGAAACGAGACGACGGGAGCAAAAAATGAGGCAGACTCGGTGGTTCGAATGCCAGAACGCCTTCTGGGTGTGGGCTCTGTGGTGGCAACTGTCCGCGATCACCGATGTCTCCCGGACCACTCCCGGAAACGGAAAGCGAATTAGATCCGTGGCCCTTGCGCTCGATCGGTCTCCTTATTACCAACGGTACTCGTCCTATCCCCCCTATTGTTCCGACCCCGGGGAAATGGCGACCCGTGGGATTCCCCCGCTGCCGGTCGACGAGACGAACAACAACAACAACAACAACAACAACAACAACAACAACAACAACAACAACAACAACAACAACAACAACAACAACAACAACAACAACAATACCCGGCTGGTGCACGTCACCGCGGTGATTCGCCACGGGGCGCGCACACCGGTGCACTCGAAGAACTGCTGGAAGGGACACTGGGACGAACCGGACGGCGTGTGGGACTGTGACCTGACCACCCTGCTCTCGACGAGGCCGAACGGCAACAGCGACAGCAGGGACGATCGCGGGCAGTTTTTGGTGGAAAAGATCTACGACGCCTTTCTCGGCGAGAGACCCCCGTCTCCGTATCGAAACCGAATGAACGGAACCTGCCAGGAYGGCCAGCTCCTGCAGCAGGGGTACGACCAGCAAATTTCCAACGGAAGGCACCTCCGGGATGCCTACGTGGTGTCCGGGAGCGGCGATCCGAACCCGGATTCGCGGCTGGAGCTCTTTGGCCCCTCGTCCCTCCGGRMCGCCGTCTCCCAGGGGACCGGCGACGGATCCGGAGGAACCGGAGAGAGCTTTCTGGAGGGGCTGCTCCGGTACCGATCCGACGACGACCAGCGCACGCTGGCATCGGGGCAGGTCCTCCTCTCGTCCATGTTCGCGCCGGAACTGGCGAGCTACCGCGCCGCCCACGGCGGTGCGAGCCCGGTGATCCTCCACCACACGGCAGATCGCCCGAGGGACATCATGTCGAGCAGAAAGGGAAAGACGAGCTGCCCCAGCCAGGAAGCACTGATCGATCGCAGCTACCGATCGAAGGACTACAAGGCCTTTGCCGAGTCGGAGGAAAGCAGGACCATGGAACGACTCATCGAGAACGAACTCGAACCGGAGGGGGTCAGCTTTGGGGGCCTCGATTGCATGATGACCAGCATCTGCACCGATCGAAGCCTGCCGGACGTTCTCGCGGATTACGGGGGCAACGCGACGGGCGGCCGCGACGAAAACGACCCGCACACCAAGGCCTACGGTCCCAATCGCTTCCAGCGGCTCCTGGATTACGTACGTGTTTCGTTGCTGGTWTYGGGCTTTGGAGGCGTTTGGAGGTGTTCGGAGGCGTGTGTGGTTTCTTTTCCGTCCAACGATTGCGGGTGCTCTGCCAYGTCCATGCGTGTTCTTCCAGACCATCGAGCAGATTCCTCCCTGCATTGTTCCMCCCATTCTATGCTCTCACTCTTTGTTCGTTCCATGCTCTTCCGAACCCATTATTGCYGTGGACTGCTTTTTCGATAATCCGGYGGCGCAACTCTATCGTAGGTTGTTGAAAACAGTACGTTTGCCAGTCGTTTCAACGACTCCGAATTGTCGAAGGACGACATGGGGCCGTTCTGGGCCGAGGTCATGGACTATATCATACCTGTTATTACRAAGGGGGAGGAGGAGAAGGCTGTGAAGTTTGCCCTTTACTCCGGACACGATTCGACTATCTTACCTATGATGGCATCCCTCGGGCGCAACGTTTGGAATGCTACCAACTTTCCAGCGTATGCCAGCATGATGATAATAGAGGTGAGTCGGTCCTAACACGCCATCTACGTGCTAGATGTTTTCAATTTAGCTTCACCCCGAAAATGGCTATCGTTTTCGCACAAAACACGCTGTTTTTTTTCTCACAATGCATTTCTACAATTCGTTAGATTCACGAGATCACCGATCGAGGCTCGGKCGACTTTGCCTCCGGATACGCGTTTCGGCTGGTTTACAACGGCCGTGTCTTGACGTGGCTAATGGATGGGTGTCCGGAATACTCTCAGCTCTGCGATGTTTCCGTGTTTGTGGACCGTGTGAGGCCGTTTGCTACCCGAAAAAACATGGGTTGCGGCATCGACGAAGCCGAAGTTACCGACAGCGAGGGAAGCTCTCCCGATTCGATCTCGCCGACCCCATCTAAGAATGGCGATGGATCGTTATCGTTCTTGATACTATGCATGGTGGCAAGTTTTGTGTTTGGAGGTCTTCTGACGGGCGCCGTAATGCAGTGCTGCAGATGGAATCCGAGAAACAAACAGCGGGACCAATCCGAGCTTATTGGTTCCGGGAGAGAGTCATCGATTGATTAC